TAACTACATGAAGAATCCAGCACATCAACTTTGAATACTTAATACATCCTCCATGTCTTCAATGTTTCTTTGTCTCTTTCCTAGTTTATTTTTACTTTATCTGCAACAGAAATCTTTGTTCTCTTTTTCTTTCTCATTTCCCCTTTCAGTATAATTTGTACTCCTCTCATCATTTTTTTCTTTTATTCTATATTATCATTTTCCCATTTTTATCTTTGAACAAGTAGTATTCAAAGTTCATACATTATTGTGTGCATATTTTTCACTAATTTTTGAGCTGTGATTACAAGTGTTTATACTTCATGTGGCCTAGAGACAGGTCTTGTGATATTTTTGTGAAGAATGTAGCTACTTTTGCTTTTGTCAGAAGAGTCCATCTGAGACTAAAATAAAGAGTTTTGGATTCCATTGGTGTAGGAAATCTCAAAAAAGACTAGAATACATTCTGTAATGTGGTTGTTAGTTGTTACCCTAATCAATATTTATAAAGAAAAGGAGCAAATTGAGCAGGGTAAATTACAAAATGAAAAATTTGAGGAGAAAAGAAACACCAAGAAGTGGAATGGAGCTAACTGTTTTTCACATTTCAAGGTGAAAAACAGACTAAGAAATGAATTAAAGAGAGTGGTGAACTCAAGACAAGATCCCATGCAGCTGCTTCCAACATTTGAAAAGGAATTAAAGAAAAGCTTTGAGCCCAGTGTAGTGGTGTACACCTTTAATGCCAGCACTCCAACGACAGAGGCTGGCAGACCTCTGAGTTTGAGTCCAGCCTGATCTGTAAATATCAGGTCAGAACAGTAAGTTTCAGAAGTGATGGAAACCATCAAAAGCAGAAAGCTGGTGTAGATGTAATTGAACAAGGGTGACATGTTCCAGCCCCCACAAGCTGTAGAATTTGGCAAAGTCACCCATGTGGTTCTTGCTTTAGAATCAAAGACAGAAGAAATGTTATAGCATCTCCCTCTGTGACTAAGTAAAGTTGCTGAGGCCAGTCATGTGTCAGGGGTGTCCTTGGTTTGCCTTGGAGATCCAAAGATATTGGACATAATAGAGTCATGGCATACCTGCCCAGTAGAGCTTCTAACATGAAGTGGAACCAGCCAAAGTGAAAGAAGTGTGTTGCAGTCAACAAAGCTAAAAGGAGTTGGAGATCTGAAGACAAAAAGATGCAGTCTGGAATTGCCTAGTTGGTTTTAGTCTTGCTTTTCTTCACTATGCTTCATTCCCTACATCTTGGAATAGTAATGTATGTCTTGTGATATTATATGTTACAAGTATGTAGCCTGCTTTCTGATTTTGATTTTTATAGGGGATTACAGTTAAGATATTTTGTGCATCTCAGTAGAAGCTTGGATAAATTTGAGACAGATATAGATTATAGGGACTTTTGAATTAAGAATGAATGCATCTTTGCATTATGATATGGCTATAAGCATTTAGGGGCCAGGGAGTAGAATGTGGTTGTTTGAAAGAAAATGGCCCCCAAAGGGAGTGACACTATTAGGAGGTATGGCTTTGTTGGACTGGGTATGGCCTTGTTGAAGATAGGGCTGTCGCTGTGGAAATGAGCCATGGAACAATCTTTTTCTGAACTATGAATACATATTACTCTTATTGGCTAAAAAAAGGCTGATTCAGGAAGAGACTGAGTTTGGGGGATAGACTAGGAAAATTCTGGGAAAGGGAAGGGTGGAGTCATAAAATTGCTGTCAAATGCTGAGAAGCAAGATGAGTATGCCTTACTGAGAACAGGTACGAAGTCAGGTGGCTAAGCATAGATTAATAGAAATGGGTTAATTTAAATGTAACAGTTAGGTAATAACAAGCTTGAGCTTTCAGCTGAGCATTCATAATTAATAGAAGCCATTGTGTGGTAATTAGGGAAGTGGCTTCCAGGTATTTGGGAATTGGTGATTAGGAAAAGAAACATCCATCTACATTTGTCACTCAAACATTTGGCAAAAAAACCTGAGAAAGCTTTAAAAAAAGGATTCTATGGCACATGACTTTAATCCCAGCGCTTGAGAGGCAGAAGCAGGGAGATCTCTGTGAGTTCCAGACCAGCCTGGTCTACAGAGTGAGATCAAGGAAAGGCCCAAAGCTACACAGAGAAACACTGTCTCAAATATTCAAAAAAAAAAGGATTCTAAACACACAAAAGAACAGAGTCAAGCACAGCTTCTTAGTAGCAGAATTTTCTCCGGTGGGCTCTGTTTACTAGTTGTGAGCAGAGGTACAGCTCCTTTAAACGATGGCTTCCCAATAAGACAACAAAAGGATATTACAGGGATACAAATTGGAAAGGAGGAAGTCAAGCTTTCACTATTTGCAGAGGATATGATCATATATATGTGACCCCAAAAATTCTGCCAGGAAACTCCTACAGCTGATAAACACCTTCAGTAATGTGGCAGGATACAATACTAACTCAAAAAATCAGTAGCCTTCCTATACAAATGATAAACACACTGAGAAAAAAATCAGAGAAACATCACCCTTTACAATAGTCACAAATAACAAAATATCTTAGGGGTAATTCTAATCAAACAAGTGAAAGCCCTATATGACACAAACTTTAAATCTTTGAAGAAAAAAACAGAAGAAGATATAAGAAAAGGGAAAGATCTCCTATTCTCTTGGATAGGTAGGATCAACATAATAAAAATGTCAATCTTAGCCAGGCATTGGTGGCTCACACCTTTAATCCCAGGGCTTGGGAGGCAGAGGCAGGCAGAGTTTGAGGACAGCCTGGTCCACAGAGCAAGTTCCAGGACAGGCTCCAAATCTACACATAGAAACCCTGTCTTGAAAAAACCAAAACTAAAACAAACAAACCAGAAAAAAAAACCTAATATGTTGATACCTTGACCAAATGACTGCTTATCATCAATGTGATCTCCATATCCCAATAATAAAGCATAAATGCATGTACGTTAAGACAGTTTTTTAAATAAACAAGAAAATTATGTTTAAATTTTATGTATTTGGGTGTTTTGCCTACCAGTAAGTGCCTGACATATATGGAGGCCAGAAGAAGGTGTTGGATACTTTAGAACTGGAGTTACAGATAGCTGTGAGCTACTACACCTGTGGTGGAAATTTAACCAGGTACCCTGGAAGAGCAGCCAGTGTTCTTAACTGCTGAGCCATCTCTCTAACCCAGTAAGATAGTTTTGTAAGAATTTTTTTTCATTCATTATCCACAGTATGTCACTTTTGGCACTCGGGAATGTTACTGGAGTGTTAGCCATTAGGGGAATTGTTTTCAGAGGTTCACAGAAATTAGATAATATATTTGAAATAGAAATCAAGTGAATAAATGTCAAAAAGTAAACAAGAGTTAAGTCAATACAAGTGCACTGGCAAGGCAAAAGGAGAAAGAAGTATAATCATTGTCTATATTGGTACATGCATGTTAGTGCTGAAAAGAAAAGAACTAGGGAAAGGGTTAAGAACTGTGTGTAGCTATGAAGTCTCAGCTAAAGGTCTGACTGCTCATTTTCTTAATTCTAGACTCTAGAGAAACCATTGCTTTCATCATATGTAGATGTATTTGTCTGTGATGAGATGAGTGCTCATAATTGTTCAGGAATTTCATGGGCAGCCTCACATCCCAAAATCAGGAAGTTTCTCCCTTAGGGTTGGCATTTTTCCATCATGAGTTGATCTTCCTGAAATGTTAAATGTTTCTAAAGTCCAAGATGACCAAGGTGTTAAAGTGGCAATGGGGATTTAAGAAGCATTTGTAGTTTCAGGAACAAACTGCGTAAAGGATAACAGTTGTCCTAGTTTGAATGTAATTGGCCTGCATTACATTCCCATTATAATCCACATTCTCATGGAGAGTGGCACTATTAGGAGGTGTGGCATTTTTGGAGGGCATATGGCCTTGTTGGAGGAAGTATGTCATTTTGGGGTGGGTTGTGAGGAATCATACACTCAGAATACCACCCAGTGTGTAAGTTGATTTCCAGTTACCTGCAAGATTTAGCATTCTCAGCTCCAGCACTACATCTGCCTGCCCGCTGCCATGCTCCCATAATGGACTGAACCATTGAAACTATAAGCGAGCCATCTCTTTTGCTTCATTAATTATAAGCATGTCATGGTGTCTCTTCACAGCAATTAAAAACCCTAACAAAGACAACAATAAAATATCTTAGTAGTTTCATCAGTTCTAAAGTGGAAAAAATAGGTTTAATACATTTAAGACTAATCAACCTTATGCTACCTGATTTAACATATAATACTCTACTGATTGACATGCTTATATGAAAAATTGAACTGAAGTGTGAAGCAAAAGTAAAGAGGTTTCCATAAAACAAAAGTACAGATACCAAGCTTTATCTTGCTTATAGTAGCACATTTGGGGCACCTGAAATTATAAGTGAAAATTCAATGTGTTTAGCAAAAGCCACTTCTATATCCCTGTTATAACAGCATGACAAAATATAAATTAAATTTACAAAATGAGACAAACTATTTTCAGATGGTTAATTGTTAGAAAATAATGTTTTGAAAGAAGAATACACACTCAAATAATCCTTTCAGGACAAGTTCTGTGAGAGCCAGACATGGAAGTGGCCAACTAGAAGTACAGTCTGAAAGACAGGGTGCAATGACTACCTCCTGGTACTTGATCTTGGACTTTCAAGCCTCCTACACACTAAGAAGATGTGTTTCTGTTGTTTAAGCCTCTGGGTCCTTATGCTGGACCATGGAGACCACTGTACCATCTTCACACTCCATCAGAGAAGCACCAGTAGGCCTCTCTTGGACACAGAAATAGCTTTGTTCATTTTTATTCTTTTGTTCTGACTCTGATGAAGAAGGAGGGGCCATCATGAAAATCCTCATAACTCTTTCCTCTGCCTATACTGCAGCACTAACCCAGGCCTTTGCATATTGCTCCCTAGGGAGAACCCACCCTTCTTAGTCTGAGATAAAAGTAGTCTTCTTGCAGTGACTGATCAGTCTCCTCAGACTGCCTCCTCAAAATGAAGTTTCCTGTTGTGCTGTTGGTGCTACTGGTATTCAGGGTTCCTGGTAAGAACAGTGAGAAAGGAGGATGGGTAGTGGGGATGAGCCCTGGGTCTCACTGCTGATCACATGGGTTCTGTCCATGTAGGGAAGATGGATCTTGTCCTCCAGGATGGGGCCTGTGAGGTTTACATCTGTGAGAGGGAGGACCCAGATGGGAAGGAACCTGTACTATAATGAAAATTATGACAGAGATAGCCTGGGATGGTTTAAATAACAGCTAGAAAACCCTTAGGGCTGTTAGTTCACTTGTTTTGTTAAAAAGCAAATTTTAGTGTTTAAAGCATTTTATGTAATATAAACATCTGAACTGATATAAATTTTAAAAAAATCAACTGAAATAATTTTTTTAAAAAATCAACTTAGTTTGTCTATGACTTTCTTCTCTGTCTTTATTTCAGCTTCCAGAGGGGATATTGTGATGATTCAAACTCCAGTTTCCCTGCCTGTCAGCCTTGGAGATAAGGCCTCCATCTCTTGCAGGTCTAGTCAGAGCCTTGCACATAGTAATGGAAACAGCTTTTTGGAATGGTACCTGCAGAAGCCAGGCCAGTCTCCACAGCCCCTGATATATGAGGTCTCCAAGAGATTATCTGGAGTTCCAGACAGGTTCAGTGGCAGTGGGTCAGGCACAGACTTCACACTCAAGATCAGCAGAGTGGAGCCTGATGATTTGGGAGTTTATTTTTGTCTCCAAGCTTCTTATTTACCTCCCACAGTGATTCAGACCTTAACAAAAACTATTCTTGGGGTAGCCCAGCTGCCAAATAAGTTACTTATCTGTGTGAGAGAGAGAATGGTGCTGAGGGCCTCACACCTCACTGGTCATGCATTTCTGGTCTCATCAACAGCAATAACAATGACATTTCACCTGTCTCAGGAAATTGGTAAACATGTCCCCTCTCAGCAACTAGGGACAATGAGGTTAAAGCTAAACAAAAACTTACTCTGATTCTATAGGTGTTATCTGCCTAAGTGACTCAAAATTATCCATTAAAGCAGTTAGGAAACTGAGAAGTATTCCTTTGTTTAACTCTCTCCTATACTATATTTCTTAGTCAGTCTTCTATTGCTGTGAAGAGACATTATGACCATGTCAACTCTTGTTAAAAGAAAGCATTTATTCAGGGCTTACTCACAGTTTCAGAAGTTTAGTCCAGTGTTGTCAGTTTTGATTTGTGCAGGTATACCCATGGTGGCCATTATTTCTAGCAAATGAGTGAGTACAGATTCAGCCTTTTCAGAACTCAAAGCAGTTATCCATTGAAATCCTGAAAAAGTATCGATGGTATGGTGTACATATTCAATTTTCTAAATTCTGTGAAGTGAAACATGTCCATCTGCCAGATTTCATTTCTCTGAGTACCCTTTGGGTTACATCCTGCTGGTAATGGTGTTTGATTGTAGAAGAAAAAAGTAGGACATTTCTTTACTATTTCTTTGGCTTGTTGCCAGGTTATGGAAAAATCCTTTTTTAAACCTTTACTAATGACATGATGATTTTTTATGAAATTCTGAGGCCTCCAGCACATTTCCTATCAATAATTTATCAATCTCATCATTGCCTTGTGCTAGAGGGCCTGGCAGACCAGTATGGGAT